AAAGTATGGAAACTGAGGCTTTGCACATCCTGGGCAAAATTTCTCTGACTGGCCACACCCCAGTTTATCGCAATGGAGTTCTAGCTTCTATTACACCCCAGAAGTTCTCCAGGATTCCTCACTGGTTTCCAGAAAGCCATTGACGTGGTCATGGAATTGTTTGCGCTGTCAGCGTGTCAGCTGCACTGTCTCTGAGAGTTGATCTCAATCTGATTAGTGGAGCTAACCTAGCTTAGAACTTTGACCATTCTTGGTTTCTTAGTGGACCTTTGCCCCTTGAGCCATGCTTTCGCGGGAACAGAGATGTCCCTCCTCATTTCACGCAGACATCATAGATGTATGTTTTCTGTTACCTGTTCATGTTTGTAGGGTATTTGCTTACACAAGAAGAGGAAAACCCCACGAGGGTCACGGGGATCGCATTAAGACTTGTCACTTTTAAATTTCATGATGCTACAGCTGAAGTACATGCAGATGTGATGACTATTACTCCCTAAAAAGCTTGCTAGGAAAAGCAACATGCAAAAGTCAGTATGCAGTCTGTACCACGGTTATGCTCTGTAGGGAAAGGCAAGAGTTGAAAAGTCAGTAAATTCCGCTGTGGTCCTGTGGGTGTGTAACCAGCATGATTCCCTTCCCTGCCTTCTTTCTGCTCTGCTCTATTTTCCTGATGTTGGAAACAGTTTTTATGCCTATGAAACCTTAAAAACCAAAAACCTAACAATTCCTGCTTTCCTTCATGAATTGCATTCAGTGTTGTGACAGCAGCAAAGTCTTCCTTTTGGCTGCCTGGGTGGTTTGCTACTTGCTGTCACTCATGAAAAAGCCTTTAAGCACTTCTGCTTTGAACTCCTCGGTGTGAAGATCCGTGCCTAGCAGGTGTGAGCAAGTCTGTTGGAGATCTGCCCCTTGTCACACCTAACCCTGCGAGTCCTGGAGGAGCTGTTGACATTTGAGGAGAGAAATATGTAAACACAAGCTAACCAAACCACAGCATGTTTTGTAAGTCGGGATGCCCGCTAATAAAAGCATAACACAAAGTAGAGCTGTCACCCAGACTAATTCCCAGATGTCATTCCATCATGAATTCTGGTGGCACTAATGAGCTACGGTCTTCACAGTCAGTCTCCAAGCAGTCAGCCTTCCAACGGTGATTCCCATCACTGACTCTTCAGCATCACGTATTTCTAAGTTCTCCTGGTAGCCCTGATTTTCAGTGCTGTTCTTACCTGTCCTTTCTGGACCAATCACAGTGTGAGGCTTGGTGTGATAAGGGGGAAGTAGACAGTCACCTTAATCTCTTTCTATCTGCCTCAACCTCTCCACACCTCCTTGTTGTAAGAGGCTGTTCGTTCTTTCCAGATCACCCTGACTCAAAATAATCACATAGAAACTATATCATTTAAAACACTGCTTGGCCAATAGCTTAAGCATATTTCTAGTTAGCTCTTACATCTTAAATTAACCCATTTCTATTAATCTGTGTATTGCCACGCGGCTGTGGCTTACCTGGTAATATTCCAGCCAGCGTCTGTCTCTGGCAGGACTACATGGCTTCTCTCTGACTCCATCTATTCTCTCTATATATCTTTTTTAGCCTGGCTATATTCTGCTAAGCCATCGGCCAAAAGCAGCTTCTTTATTCATTAACTAATAAAAACAACACAAAAGGAACTCCCACACCACCTCCTGGCTCAGTATCCTTGTCCCAAACCTGCCTTCTGATTCAGCAAGATCTCATCACTCTAATTTCAAAATATCCTGGTGTGTGTGTGTGTGTGTGTGTGTGTGTGTGTGTGTGTGTGTTGATACCAAAAGAATGCACCAGATACCTTGGAGCTGTGTTACATTCAGGTGGATGTAAGCCACCTGGTATGGGTGCTAGAAACCAAATGAAGGTCCTCTAGAAGAGAAGCAATTGCCCTTAGTGACTGAAACATATCTCCACAAATACAACCAACCCCCTTTCTGGGTTTTAATGCATAAAGATGAATACTGTTTCAGCTGTAATTTTCAAAAATACCAAAGTCTTTTAATTTTTTGCATTTTTATGTATATGAGTGTTTTGTCTGCATGTATGTGTGGGCACCACAGGCATACATGCATATTGCATCACATGCATGCAAGGTCAAAGGGGCCAGAAGAGGGAATCAGACCATAAGGTTATGAGCCACCATGTGAATGTTGCTGGGGCTCAAACCCTGGCCATTGTTCTTAACATCCGAGGCATCTCTCTAGCCCCAAGAAGTTGGGTTGTTTCGTTTTGTCTTTTTTGTTGTTGTTTTTTTTGCTTTTGTTTTTGTTTTTGCAAAGCTTCAGCAGTCCTGAAGATGAGTAACAGCGACCAAGTCTGTAGTTTCATATGAAGAAGCATAGCAATGGAGATCTGGTATAATTTCTAGCAGGTTTTTGAATGAATACCAGTAAGTTAATATATATCTCAAAATTAAAAATAAGGACATTATTGGGGACTGTGACTTGCTTGAATCTTGTCAAAACTTATGAAATATAAATACTACAGTGTTTCTTGGAAATCACATTTCCTCTCTGAAAGACTTCTAAGTAAAAAAACAAAGGTGGCCCTAACAGCTCTCTTTCATTCCTTATATACGCTCTCTTCTCTCCGCTCCCAACTCCAAGGGGCTAGAATCTCAAGAAAAGGAATTCTTCATCCATGAATAAAACATGTTTTAATCTCTGGAAGAACACCACCATGCAGAACATACTACAGTGTTGCTGACCACAACTCAATCCCACCTGTCTGTAGACAACTGTCTGTGCTTCCATCCACTTCCACCCATGTGCATCGTTCTCTGTGCGTTTACTAACAGGAAGTTAATAAAAAGTTTCTGTGCACTGTGTCATCTCCCAAAGTGTGTATGTCCCAAAGTCCTGCACAAACGCCTGCTCTTAGACGCTTTCATCCCATGACAGAGAAGAGAAATGAGCAGATGGCACAGTCTGGGACACAGGCTTTCTAATACAGCCTGTCACTCACCTAATATGATGCTAGAATTTTGCAGCTGGAACTTAAGACTGAATGACAAGTCAGACATGCTGGACAATAATCCCAGCATTCAGGAGATGGAGACTAAGCCTGGGCCGCTTAGTGAGTTCCCTGACAGCCCGAGATATAGAGCAATATCCAGCCTCAAAATAAAGGAATATAAAATAAAGATAAAATGAAGAATAAAATTTAAGAAAACATTTGGGTTTGTTAAATTGTAGTGTTCATCTGAGTTTTAGATTTTACCCTTTTTGTTTCAAGCCTATCGTTAGCACAACTGATTCTGCAATGGAATTTCTAAAGCAGCGTCTTCTCAGCTCTGCTCAGTATCGAAATCACCTGAGGGGCCTCTGAACAGCTGTATAAACAGGTTATAGCCTGTATTTATTATCCTAGAATGCCTGAGGCTTGGAGTCAGGCCACTGTAGCTTAATCTACGGATGCAAAGAATAAGAAAGAAAGAAAAATCTTTGGTGTGGATTTAAAGCCCTGTGACAGTGTGGAGGGCATCTGCTCTCTGAGGGTTTAGCTTTGCTCTCCTTCTCCTAGGTTCCTTAAAGAACAATGGGGGACGCTAACTGGTGTGTGTCTACCTTGGGAGGTTTCAGTGTGGACACTCACTCACCCAGTCCTGCTAGCTCAACCCCTGCCTGAGCCCGACGTCACCTGCTGAGACAATGGCACATGCTTTGAGGCCGCCTGCTTGATCACGGGTAGGGTTACCTCACAGTTCTAGGACAGTCCCTTGGGGGACTAACCTTGGGATTCTGTCCAGCTGAAGCGGTGTTTTGACACTGCACCTTGGTCAGTCACAAGGACTCTTCACAAAGCCAAGCAAACAACCGAAGAAAGGATCCAAAGGGTTTGAGCACTCTGTGGGCCTCCTACCTCTCTCGCCTTCTTAACTGACCCAGATTATCACTTCCTTTGTGAGAACCCTTCTACCCTTTCTTATGTGTTCAGCCAACCTAGTGCCACAGACTCATCTATCAAAATAAGGAGAGAAGGGGGGAAAGAGTTTAAATAAGTTCATCTTTAAAGAAACCCCGTGTTTTCAGCCTTACAAATAAAATCTCATCTGTAGCCCTGACTACGCTTTGAATTTCAGGTTGTTGGACTATCTGAAAGTTTGATGTTGGCTCATTTGTGCAGTGTTGTTGCTGTAAATGAATGGACTGAACCATTACAAATGTTCTTATCCTTAGTAAACCTTGGTCGAACCTAACAAAGAAGGGGGGTGAGGGAAAGGAGAAGAAAGGGAAAGAGGGAGAGAGGGGAAGAAAGGGAGGGAGTGAGGAAGGGAAGGAGGGAAGGAGGAGAAAGGGGATGAGAGGGAAGAATGGAGGAAGGAAGGAAAGAAGGAAGGAAGGAAGGAAGGAAGGAAGGAAGGAAGGAAGGAAGGAAGGAAGGAAGGAAGAAAGGAAGGAAGGGTAGACACTCCTTAGGAAACATAGGCCAGTTGGGAAGATGGGGAATGGCTCAGTGAATAAAGTACGCAGGCTTATAGATGAAGTATCAATCGTCTGGGTAGGCATAGCTGTTGGCCTGTAATTCCAACACTGTGAAGTTGAAAGTGGGATCTGTGGAGCAAGCTAGCTAAGTAAACTAGCCATATGGTCCATTTCTACATTCAGTTAAGAGACTGCCATAATGAATAAGATGAATACTATCTAGGAAGATTCCTACGTCAACCTTAAGTGCCCACATGCATATGCACACGTATCCATATACATGCAACACACACGAACACAGGTGCATCATATACACATAACCCCCCAAAGGAAATCTAAGTGGCAGTGATTTTGTGTGATCCTATTTGTTTTGGTATAAGTGGATGTGTACCTTCTTAGGAAAGCCTCAGAAGCATCTCATGCCCCTCATGACCAGGACCTGGTGAGTCACTTCACCTTGTCACACCTCTGAATGTCAACAAGCTCGGTATTTCTGTGTAAACCTGCCTGACAGTCACCATGATCCTCCATCTGTCTTACAGGGCTGCCAACCAGACTCCCCGAAATCATGCTGGTGGGATCCCAGTCCTTCTCGCCTGGAGGGCCCAATGGCATCATCCGGAGCCAGTCCTTCGCAGGTTTTAGCGGCCTGCAGGAAAGGCGATCCAGGCAAGTGCTGGGTGCTCACTCCTTCTGGGAAGCAGCAAAAAGAGGCAGGTGCTGATGTGTGGTCCTCACACTGTGCTTGTGTGTGGTAGGTAATGCCCTCTTCGTGGAAAAGATAGCACACCCAGAATTAAGTGCCATCAATTTTATCACTTAGAATTCTTTGGGCAAAGATGTCTTAGTGTTTAGGATGAGCTAGTCATCAATGTGTGCACATACACGGCTAGCTTATCCTAGCTATTTTGAGAGGTCTTGTCCCCTAAAGGGAGGACATGACCACTCCAAGGCATGGCTGAGGGGAAGGTTTCTAATTTAGCTATGAGGAAGAGTACAGCCAGAGGCATCTGGAAGCATCCAGAGCTTACAGAGAAAAGAATACAGTGAACATGGCCAACAGAGAAAACTGGGGCGTGGGGCAAGCGTGTGGTGGAGGAATGAGAGAGGAAGCCAAGAAAGGGGCTGAAAGAGGACCAAGAACGCGTGGCTGAAATGGTAGGGTTATATCAGAATCAAAAGCTGGGGGAAGGGAAGCTGGAGAAGCTTAGGGCTGGGAGCGGGAGAGAGGAACCAGGCTGCAGGCACGGGCTCTGTAACAGGTACTTACCATGCTGAGAGAGCCTGGGGGTCAGCACGCACTTTGGTATGCTAACTGGTGCCACAGTTAGACATGGACCCGAGCATGTAGACTCCCGCTACCTTACTCCCAACCTCCTTTCAAGCACGCTTTTCTGTTTTGGAGACTGTACTTGGAATGAAATTATGCGGATGGAGACCGTGCCTCACAGAGGGACTCTAGGGAGCTGATATCATTCAGGTGGGGCTTGGGAAATTAGGCCCTACTTTCCCTGGAATCTCCTCCTCTCATCAAACCCATGAAACCAAGGAAATACGAAGAGGGAATGGTTAACATGCAAGGAAACTCATCTTTGGTTTGGCTGAGCGATGATGCTCTCTCTTTCCAAGGGAGCTCCAGGTTTCAAGACAGATTCTGTCTCAAAAAGATGAGTATAAAGAATGACAAAGGACAATGCCCAAAAGTCAACTCCCCGCTTTTAGACACATGTGCGCACACAGGAGCTAGTACCTGCACATACACTCACAGACACCACATACAAAAAAAAAAAAAAAAACCACAAAAAATAAAGAAAAATAAAATAAACAATACTGCAAAGATGCATGTGTTTTTGTTTAATGCCTTGGAAAATTAGCTATTTGTCATGCTTTGGCACATTACCCAAAAAGGTGTCACTCACATTCTAGTGAGGTATAAGTTTGTATCTGATATTATACAAAGATTTGGTTTCCCTTTGGTTGGATACGACTTCTACCTGTTCATTGTTTCCACCCGGAAGCATTTATCCCGGGTCCCTGTGAGCTAGACTACAAGAGCACCCTCAGAAAGCGCGCAGCCCAAAGCTAGGCTCTGCCTCCAGGGGAGCCTCTCCTCAGTGAAACTTTCCGCAAACATCAAGAAATGAAGGGTGACCAGCTGGAATCCGTTGCTGTCCAGGGCCGTGTTACCTTCCTCCGGGGCACTAGGACGAAGTCAAGATTTAAAAGACATTTCCCTGGTGGGTCTTTGTGACGTCCAAGACTCACGGCCTCTTTTCTCTTGCTTTAGGTGTAACTCCTTCATCGAAAATGCTTCTGCTCTCAAGAAGCCTCAGGCCAAGCTGAAGAAAATGCACAATTTAGGGCACAAAAATAACAACACTCCTAAAGAGCCTCAGCCGAAGAGGGTGGAAGAGGTCTACAGGGCTCTGAAAAATGGACTTGAGTAAGAATAATGGCCCTGCCCGGTGGGGAAAGGAGACCTTTTTCCTTCCTAAAATAACCCTTTTCCTTCCTAAAAGCTAGTAGTCTTAGGAAGTCAGTTCTGGAAACAGCCACGTGTTGCCGCTACTGTTTTATTCTTTTGTCTGGTTTTGAGGCAGATTCTCGCGCCTCAGGCTGGCCTTGAACTTGCTGTGTAGACAATGGCCTTGCTGTTCTGATCCCATCTCCACCTGTCCAGTGCTGGGATTGCAGAGAGAAAAGTGCACCAGCATACTTCTTGTTCTATAATTGAGGCAGCTTTTAATAAGTCTCACAGATGGGAAACGGGTTGGGATTGCATGTCGTATCCATGGCATTGAAGCAGGCTTGAGGCTTGAGACAGTGGTGTGTTTATAGCTAACTCCCTCCAGGGTTGGGCTTCCCTTAGACAATGATGGGCATACATAGCTGAACTAGAGATTGTTATGGAAGGGTTCTGAGCCTGGTGTGGTGGATCACACCTGTAATTCTACCCTTCACTCAGGAGGCAAAGGCAAGAGGATCATCTAAAGGTCAAAGTCGGCCTGGATAGCATAGTATACAGCCTGCCTCAAACATACACACATTCAAACACTCTGGAGCCTTTCTGAATGTGCTATAAGGACAGTTTGACCAGAAGAAAACTTGCCTAGCATTTGGTAAGGCACTTGCAGTCCCTACTGGATGACAAAACTGTGTCTCCCGAGTCCTGCCTGACTCTTCCCTCACAGTTGACTTTTCATTTCTGGATTTTCATCCTCACAGTGGCAACCCCCCCATCTCTCTCTCTCTCTCTCTCTCTCTCTCTCTCTCTCTCTTCAAACTAGACAAGATCAGCTGCAGCTCCTAGTCTTTCCAAAATGTTCCCCAGTCACAGCGCAAAGTTTTGATTCTTTTTTTCAAGAGGAGAGAGGGGCAGGGTCTCACTCTGTAACCCAGGCTACCCTGGGAGTTACCTGAAGTCCAGGCTGGCCTAGAATACAGAATAATAGTCCTGCTTCAGTCTCCCATGTACTGAGATTATAGGTGTGAGCCACCACCTGACTGACATTCCAATTCTTAAACCCCTCTTAGAAGGCAAAGGTCAGCAACAGCCCAGGTCTCACCGAAAATGAGAGCTCACCACAATGTCTTACCTTTGCAGTGAGTACCTGGAGTTTCACCAGACGGAGCTGGACAAGCTGACCGCTCAGTTAAAAGATATGAAAAGAAACTCTCGCCTGGTAGGTCCCTCTGACCATGAGGATGCTAACACAGGGTGGAGGGTGGGGGTTTCTGTTCCTTGCTTACCAGAGGTGGGGAGGGGCAGGGAGGAGGGGAGCGCTTAAGAAAAACGGATACAAGTAGCAAAGCTATTGCCTCTGGGCGTATGTTTTATGTTTTGGGAGGAAGACGAGCTGAGCATGGTGACTCACACCTGTAAACCCAGCAAGAGGAAGGCTGAGGCTGGGAGAATGCTAGCTGGGTGTGTTTATGTGGATATAGTTCATAATAAAATAAAGATGATAAAGATGGTTTTTGGAAACTTCCTTAAGTGGAGCTGGAGAGATGGCTCAGCTCTTCCAGAGGTCATGAGTTCAATTCCCAGCACCCATATGGCAACTCGTGGTCTGGTGCCCTCTTCTGGTGTACAGATAAACACGCAGACAAAGCACTCATATACATAAAATTCATAAATAAATCTTTAAAAGAAAAGAAAACTCTAAGGAATGTAACAAAATGTGTCCTGGTTTGCTTCTTATTGCTGTGATAAACACCACGGCCAAATGCAGCTTGCAGAAGAGTTTATTTCAGTGCACAAACTAAACTCCATCATAGAGAGATGACAGGGCAGGAACCTGGAGGCAAGAACTGGGGGGGGGGGGCAGTGGCCATGGAGGATTACTGCTCTACTGTCTTCCTCCTTGAGTCTTGCTCAGCCTGCTTTCTTACTGTACTCAGGACCAGTGTTCAGGAGTGGCACCACCCACAATGGGCGGACCTCAGGAGTGGCACCACCCACAATGGGCGGACCTTAGGAGTGGCACCACCCACAATGGGCATGCCCCTCCCACACCAGTTATTAATTAAGAACACACCCCACAGACTTGCCTACGTGCCAACCTGATAGTACTTTTCTCCATTGACATTCCCTCTCCTCAGATGGCCCTGACTTGTGTCAAAAACTAACCAGCTCAGCCAGTAGTAGGGAAGGAAGGGGAGAAGGTCTCTTAAGAGACCGAAGGGAAAATACCTCTGAACCTCATTAGAATCCATGCTGGGTGGTGAATGCCTTCTATTCTAATAAATTGGCAGAACTAATTTTGTTCCTACCAAAGTGTTATTTATCACACCTTAACCCTTCAAGGCAGTACAAAACCCCCGGCAAGTCTGCAAAGGCAACCCTGGAAGCTATGTGAGAACACGTGTTTACCTTCCACTTGGCTGATAGATAAGACTTTGCTGGGTTTTGTTTATGAACCCTTAAAGCTGCCGAGAGACCACAAGAACTGGGTGCAGCTGTAGAATCGCAGAGATCAGACGACACTGACCCTGGAGAGTACTCCAAACAACCCGGAATTTTACTCATTAAGAACAAACCCCCAAAAAATCCAGTAGAATTTAGTGGGGCTGGTGATTCCTTCACAGGTGATATAGAAATATGAGCTGGGTCATTTATTAAAGTGGGCAGCATTTCTGAGGATGCTGTGTTGTAACCAAGTGTTCCTCCTTTCATTTCAGGGTGTGCTGTATGACCTAGACAAGGTAGGTCATCCTGGGGTGCGGCTGAAAGGTGAAACTCTGCACTTTGAGCAGATATCTGTAAGATGCCCTTTGGGGGACAGTAAGCTTCCAGACAAAGAATGATGCTCTTGTGTTGGGAAGGAAAATCCTTTTTTTGTTTTTTTTTTTGTTCCATGAAGAGGAAGAATGAATATCAGAGTCTGCAGAGTCAAAGGGCGTTCAGTTGGCGGGAAAGCAGGCTCCAGGCTGTGTGTTTGCTGTCCTTTCTGAGAGTCTGGAACTTGGATTTAGAGGTCCTCATTATGTAGACTTTAATAGTAGCTACCATTTTCATCAACTATGAGACTTCCCTGATTGGAAAATGCTGCAGATGTTTAGTGCCACATATATATAGATATTCCCCTATATATTCCATATATAATATGTTTCAAAAATAAAAGTATATTATAAAATAGAAAAAAAATATTCCAGTTAACTCTAGTTATTTCTTTTCATGATATATATATATCTTTTCATGATTTT